TTTATTTACATTTGTACAAGGGGATTAGACCCAAAAATAAATGGAAGAAGGCCCAGGGCCTAAGGTACAAAGCTAGGAATCCAAAGCCCAAGGGTCCATAATAGAGTCCCAAAGAACCCGTCCCCCTTTAAAGAAAGAGTAGTCTTCTTTTATAGGCGAGGGGGAGTCTCGATCTTTTGTAGTTTTCCGATATGGGACTTGTGCAACTTGCTCTGACGGCGACACATGTCCCTAGAGATTAGGTTCGGCAATCAGAAGCTTCGGCAGGTGGCTGGCTGCTTCGGAAGTGTTTTCCTCGGCATGTTGGAAGGTGATGACACCTCAAAGCATGGCACATGGATGGTCTAGGCCAGCTTGTTGCTCGGTCAGCTCGGTGAAAAAATTGGCGCACCATGGTAGAATTTTCTATGACTCAACACCTTCAACATGTGTGTCTCTCTTGATCATTTAACTACCAATAGCTCTATTTAAAGATAGACATAGTGGGTGGAGTGGATCATAGCACATGCAAAACTTTTTGCCTCACAAATAACTCTAGTTATCGAAAACGCCAATTGCCTAACAAATAGCTCTTTCAAATTTCAGAAAGGCAACTAATGATCTGTTGGTTGTTGAGGAAAATTTGAATGAAGCCATGAATACTGCTGTTTCATACCACAAATTTTTTATAAAATCCGTAGAGAATCTCCACACCCTACTCCAACTTGCTAAGAGAGCAAACTGAGACACAAGTTCTGTGACCCAGACCATATGTTTTGACACAAAAAACAAAGATATCAAGGGTGCTTTGGAGCCAAGCCATACCAATGACAAAGTACAGGAGATGAAACTCAATATAATGGCTATGAAACCTCTTGATGCAGTTTCTGGCTATTGTAGTTGGCTGCCATTGTAATAGCCCCTTAAGGCTTAGGTTAGGGCAGTTTCTGGCTGTTGTAGCTGGGCTCCCATTGTAAAGATGGATCACAGATCCAAAGAAAGAAGGAAAATGGAAATGTAAGGCCTATGTTAAAATGAAATGAAAATTTCTTTTGTTTATGTCCCTATTTCGCATTTGGTCTTTCTGCCTCTCAGTTGCCAGTTTGAAGGTCATTCCTTAACTCTCTCAACTTCTCTCCGACTTCCGAAGCCTCGAAGACTATTAGATGACTATTGTCCTTAGGACTCTATCTTGTATTTACGTTTATCCCACGAGGGATTCCGTTTGCTTATCTGATTCCATTGTATTCTTATCATACTTGATATAGGACTCTATATGTAATACTATACAATATGCCCTCATGATAATTGAGGCTTTACCTCATACGTTGCAATTCCTTCATGGTATCAAGAGCCTATTGACTTACAGTCGGAAAATTTTCTTTTCTCTATATCTTTTTTTTTCCTCTCCCCATGGTCTTTTCTTTTGATTCGGCTGCTGCTTTTCCCTTTGTCTCTCAAGTTGTTCATATCAAGCTTGATCGTAATAACTATCCCCTTTGGTTGGCCCAGATTCTTCCTCTCCTCAAGAGTCGCAATTTGATGTCCTTCGTCAACGGTGCTACCATCGCTCATTCTCCTTTTCTTACAGATGACAAGGGCAAGCTTACTGATGCCATTAACCCTGCTTATGATACTTGGGTTCAACAAGACCAATTGGTTTTATCTTGGATCAATGGTTCTCTTAGTTATACGGTTCTCGCCACCGTCACTCGTTTTACTTCTGCTCATTCTACCTGGGTGGCTTTTGAAAACCGTTTTGCCTCTCCAAATCAAAATCGAATTTTGCAGCTTCGTAGTGAACTCTTCCGTACTGCTCGTGGTGATTCCTCCATTACTGATTACTTGACAAGGTCAATGCTATTGTCGACAACCTCGCGTTATATGGTTCTCCTCTTCCTGACTCCGATCTTCTTGCTGTCATTATGAATAATGTTGGGCCTTTATATGAGTCTACTATTGCCTCTGCTCAAGCCTGTGAGACCCCTATTACCTATGCTGATTTTGAGGCTCTCTTGCTATCTGCTGAACAGTGCCATCTTGCGCTCCATGCTCCTGCCTGTGATGGTCCTGCCACTGCAATGGTTGCTACCCATGGTCGTGCTCCTTCTCGTGGTCGCGGTAGTGGCCGCTTTTCTTTTCGTGGTGGCCATTTTGGTGGTTCTGCTCCGTGGTCTGGTTCTTCCTCTGCTACTGGACATCCTGGGTTTCGCGGCTCTTCCTCCTCTCATGGTTCTGGTCGTTCTTCTTCTTCTCATGGTGGCTCCTCTTCGCAGCCTGGTGTTTTGGGTCCTCCTCCTGCGGCTGCTGCTGGTTTTTCCTCCCCTTCCGCTCCCTTTTCTGGTTCACGTATTTAGTGCCAAATTTGTGGACGTTATGGGCATTCTACTTTGGATTGCTACAATCGTCTCAACTTGTTGTATGAGGGTCGAATGTCTCCTCAACGCCTTACTGCCATGACTGCTCAACAATCCTCGTCTTCTCGTCCTCCTAATTGGGTTATGGATACTGGGGCCAACTCTCATTTTACCAATGATTTGGGTAACTTGTCTATTTCCCGAGAATATCATGGCCATGATTCTGTTGATGGTTTGCTTGGTGGAACAGGTTTGCCTATCACCCATATTGGCTCTCTAGTCTTCCTCTTAACAACTATATTTTTTCTCTTACTGATATCCTTCACTGCCCTACTGCTTCTTGTAATTTGTTTTCCATCAATAAATTTTCACGGGACACGTTTTATCCCAATCATTTTTTAGTGCAGGATTCGCGGACGGGGAAGACTCTTTTCCGGGGCACGAGTAATCTTGGTCTCTACTCTCTCCCATCTAGCATGTCATCGCATGGTCATATTGCATATCTTGGTGTTCATGTTGCTGGTCCTGTTTGGCATTCGCGCCTTGGTCATCCTTCATCTCCTATTTTAAAATTTTTATTGTCTACAAATAAGTTGTCTGTTGATGGCACTAAGCCTTTTAATACTTTTACCTGTCATTCATGTCCTTTAGGAAAAAGTGTTAAGCTACCATTTGAGTCTTCTTTGTCTATTACGCATGCTCATCTTGCACTCATTCACTCTGATGTATGGAGTTCGTCTAATAAATCAATTTTTGGATTTCAATATTATGTTCTTTTTGTTGATAATTTTTCTCGCTACTCATGGATATTTCCTATGCGCTTGAAATCTGAGGTTTTCTCTTTGTTTGTTAAATTTAAGACACTTGTTGAGAATTTATTTTCTACAAAAATTAAAGCTCTTCAAACTGACGAGGGTGGTGAATATACTAGTCGTGTTTTTCATAATTTTTTGGTTACTCATGGTATTGACCATCACATTTTCCTGTCCCCATCACCCTGAACAAAATGGTTTGGCAGAACGGAAGCATCGTCATATTGTTGACACTAGGCTTACTTTGTTGGCCCATGCTTCTATGCCTCTTGCCTATTGGGCTGAGGCCATGCATACTGCTGTGTATTTAATTAATCGTCTTCCTTCTAAAGTTTTGGGTCTTCAATCTCCATATCAGATTCTTTTTCATAAGGAACCTAATTTTGCTTTTCTTAAAATTTTTGGGTGTGCATGTTTTCCATATCTTCGGCCTTACAATACTAATAAACTTCACTTCCGATATGTTAAGTGTGTCTTTTTGGGCTACTCATTAGATCATAAAGGTTATCGTTGTTTAAACTTGACCACTAATAGAGTCTTTTTATCACGCCATGTTATTTTTGATGAACATTGCTTCTCCTTTCAAGAGACCAAGGGCTTTCATGCCTCAATTTCTTCTTCCTCTTCTGTGGATTTTGCACCACCTTTACAAATTCTTGGGTCTCTTCCCAACCAGCAGGCTGCCTTGCAGCCCAATGGCCACCAAATTGTCACGCCCACCTCTCCTAACCCATCATTTCCCTTGCCAACCCATATATCCTCCAGCCCACACTTATCTTCTCCCTTGCCCAATGCCACCAATAATCCCACAACTGTTGCCTCCCAAACAACCCAACACTCTCCACCTAGTTCTCTCCAAGTTTACCGTCGCACCTCACATAGGACTGTCCTCACTTTTCCCTCTCCTGACCCTGAACCTGTTTTACCAAGTTCCTCAAGACACTCATCACCTTCGGCTACTTCTCGGGTAAGACCTTCTACTACTCATTCTATGGTGACTCGTGCTAAAGCTGGTCTTCGTAAGCCCAATCCTAAATATGCAAATCATGCTTTCTTGGACTCTACTAATGATATTGTTGAGCCCACTTGTTTTAGTCAGGCTAATAAATTTCAGGAATGGCGCACCGCTATGGGAGAAGAATTTAATGCTCTTCAACGAGCCGGTACTTGGGTCCTTGTTCCTCCAAAGCCCACCTTGAATGTTTGCCAAATAAGTGGGTGTTTCGCATCAAACGCAATTCCGATGGCTCTGTTCAACGTTACAAGGCCCGTTTAGTGGCTAATGATTTCCATCAGCAAGAAGGGTTGATTATGGCGAGACATTTAGCCCAGTTGTGAATCATTCCACCATTCGTCTTATCTTAGCCTTATCTGTTCAATTTCAGTGACCCGTTCGTCAGTTGGACGTTCAGAATGCTTTCCTCCATGGCTATCTAGATGAGGAGGTTTATATGCGTCATCCCACTGGGTTCATTGACCCCCAATTTCCTGACCATGTTTGTCATCTTAAACGTTCTCTCTATGGGCTCAAACAAGCCCCTCGAGCATGGTTTAAATGTTTCTCCACTCATTTGGAAGATTTGGGCTTCACTGCTTCCACGGCCGACTCTTCGTTATTCATCTATATTACTGGATCCATTCGAGTTTATTTATTAATTTATGTTGATGACATTGTAATTACAGGCAATGACCCAACCCACATCTCCACACTCATTCAAGACTTGAGCCGTCTCTTCTCCATGAAGGACCTCGGGCCTGTTCATTATTTTCTGGCATGGAAATTCTTCGCACTCCTAATGGGCTTTCTCTCACTCAATCCAAATATATCAAGGACTTGTTGACACGCACAAAGATGCAGGACGCCAAGCATATTTCATCGCTTGTTGCCAGTGGACGTCGTCTTAGCCTCCATGATGGTGTTCCATTGGATGATCCTTCTGAGTACCGAAGTGTCGTTGGTGCCTTGCAATATCTCACTCTCACACGCCCTGATATTGCCTTTGCTGTGAACCACGTCTGCCAATTTATGCACCAACCTACCTCTGCTCATTGGGTTGTTGTCAAACGTATTCTTCGCTATCTTAATCGTACTTCCACTCATGGCTTGTTCTATAAACCTGGTTCCCTGTCTTTAATGGCTTATTCTGATGCGGACTATGCCGGTTATCCTGATGATCGTCGCTCCACGAGTGGCTACTGTTTGTATCTTGGGTCTAATTTAATTTCATGGAGTTCTAAAAAGCAAGGAGGTGTTTCTCGCTCCAGCACCGAAGCCGAGTACCACCAACTTGCTTATACTGCTGCTGCGATTTCTTGGTTCCGTGCACTGTTTCGTGATCTGCAGCTTTCTCTTTCCTATCCTAAACTTTGGTGTGACAACATTAGCGCCATCTCCTTGGCTTCCAATCCTGTCTTCCATGCGCGTACTCGTCATGTTGAAGTCAATTATCATTATGTTCGTGAGAAAGTTGTGCGGCAGTAGCTTGACGTTCGTTATCTTGCTACTCATGACCAAATTGCCGACATTTTTACGAAGGGGTTGTCTATTCCTCGTTTCCAGCTGCTGACCTCCAAGCTTCCAGTGCGTTCCTCCCCTGTCAGCTTGCGGGGGTGTATTAGATGACTATTGTCCTTAGGACTCTATCTTGTATTTACGTTTATCCCATGAGGGATTCCTCTTACTTATATGATTCCATTGTATTCTTATCATACTTGATATAGGACTCTATCTGTAATACTGTATAAATCAATACAATATGCCCTCATGATAATTGAGGCTTTACCCCATACGTTGCAATTCCTTCAGAGACAATCGAGCGCAACTTTGAACCCTAGATTTGATCCTGTACGTGCATCAGCCTCTTCGAAGCCTAGCAATCTCACATCTCTTACGAATGGCACCCTCTTTGCTTCTTGTTAGAATTGATTTGATTTTGTTTAACTCTGTTTTCTTTGGCATGAAAGTTTGCTTGACTTTGTATTTTCTCTTAAAAATGTGAAATGAAAAAGGTGGAATAAAAGGAAATATAATTTTAAAAGCATAGTATTTTTTTTAAAGGTGATAAAAAGAGAATATGTAGCAGTTAGGATATATTTTTTTTATGTTGGTTATTTTGTGGTGGTAGGAAGTTGGAAAATTCTGATTGGTCGAAAATGGGACGAATATTTGCGCATAAATATTTTTTTCATCTTGCTTTCTTCTTCCAGTGAAATAGGTTCGCAATTTTGATGAGTTGCAGACGAAGATAGAGGTAATTGATTGATACTTATCTTTCCTTTTCCATTTTTTTGGGCAATAAAAGATTTGGCTTTTCACTTGTTTGGGTCAGCCCACGATAGAATCATCTGAAGAAGTTTGAAACCGAAAAGGCCATCTTCAGCCATGGCCCATAGGCCAAATATAGTTCTAAAATAATGCAAAGCTCATCTCCAGCTATGGGCTAAAAACAATTTTGGCCAAATTTGGAGAGCCACATTTGACCCTTTACCCCTCCAACTAAGCCATTTGTAGCCCAATTTTAGCCCAGGCCAAATTTTTTGTGGGCCTAGCTCATGTGCTTTCCAAAAAGAAAAAGTATCATGCATAGACAAGCGCATGAAACATCTCGTACAACTACAGATCCAATAGCCAATATTAAAGGCGTGCTAACGTCAGATAGTTGTTAGGTGTTTTTATATATATAAATAACCTGTAATTTTTTTTAAAAAAAAATTCGTTTTATTTAATATATATATATATATATAATTAATTTCTGACCATTGGAGATCAGAACCATTGATTGAAAAGTTAATTTTTTTAAAATAATTTAAAACCTTTTAAAATGTTTTAAATTCGTTTTGTTTAAAAATATATAATAAAAAAATTGGTTATTCATATTGTTTGAAAAATGTCCCAGACTTTGAAGGGACGAAATTGGTCACGAGTGGAAGATGAAAATCTTTGCAAGGCTTTCATAAAAGTCTCCAAAGATAGGGTTGTTGGTACTAACCAAAGAAGCGCTGGGCTTTGGGAACACATCTGACAAAAATGCACAAAGGCATCATCAATCCTTCCATTTACAAAGGAAGGAGATGAAGTTGTGAGATATTGAATCAAAAACACTCCGTTTATTGACATTTGAAGGTAAAGATAATAGGTGTCATGTCGACAAAAATCTAATCGAAAATCTAGTTAGTTGCTCCAGGACCAATGCGTGTTATTCGAAAATTATATCTAAAAAATTATAAAGATTCCTTCAGGATAAGACATGCCACGTGGACACAAAATCTTATGAGAAATCTTGTTAAATGCTTATCAATGTACACGTGTCATATATGGAATATTATCTCCAGATAGTAGTTTAATTAAATTAAACAATACTTAGTTATGGAATGTATGAGTGTTGTACCATAGTTTTTCTCAAAATAATAAAATATGAAGGACCCTAAAATATAGCTCGGTATGGCTGGAGATGGAAAAATTTAGCCCTTACGCTATTCTTTAAAAAATTAATATTTAGGAGGGCTAAATTTATAGTCCTGGACTACATTTAGCCCTATGACAGGAGATGACATCTATGCACCTGTTTCCTGAAATTTTTTGGTGTTCTATGATTCTATGCATATTATCTCCTTAAAAAAGCAGAACCTTCATAATTCTTATTGACACTCTTCAAATATTACAATTACTCCACTCGATTGACACTAGCCGAAATAGGGAGAATTTTTTTTGGTAAATCCACGGATGCATAATCAAATCCCTAAACATTCGATGGTGTGGATTTCATACCCAAAGTCCTAATTCCTAAATCAACTCACCAGCATCTTTAATGGAAGACTTAAATCAAACAAAATAAAACATATATAGTTTCTTTGATAATAAACCAAATATAATAAAACATACCCACTGCAAAGCGTTCGCGAGCCAATCATAACTGATCCATTAATGAATCATAAAAAATTAAAATTAAAATTAAAAAAATCAAAAAGGAGAAGAAGAAGAAAACAGAGAGAGGGATTACATGTAGTTTTTCCCTTCAAATTTTCTTGTAGTGATTCAGAGGAGATCAAAGTAGAGAAAAAAACAAGCAAAAGATCCTAATCCTCCAATCAAATCCAACCAAATTAAAAGATCATCAATATGGGTATGTTTGATTTGCTTACTTGTTCAGGCTATAATAATCTTATTAACTATATATATTATAGAGAAATTAGTCCTACAAGACATAGGTAATGGCTGGCTTACTTAATACTTTCCTTATTATTTCTATTCATTCCTATATTAACAGGGAGATTTCTTCCTATTCTTATTATTATTTCTATTCATTCCTATATTAACAGGGAGACTTCGTATTCCTATATAAATTAACACAGTGATACACACAAGACAAGACAACAAGAACAAGAACAACACAGAAGAAGCAAACAAAACCAAAACCCTAATCAAAACCATGTCGAAGCCAGAGGCAGAGACACACCCTGAGCTTGTCAACAACAACAACAACCCATGCCTTGATCTCTTTTACAACGTCGGGGAAGAAGACGTTCACGACCAGGCCCAGATGGAGGCCTCGTGTAATTATGTGAAGCAAGTGCTACCGCTGGCCTGGTCCCACAATCCCCAAACTGCCCTCAAGCTCGTCTGCAACCCACTGGATGGAAAATTCAATCTCTCTGCCTTCTACACGGCTGCGTTTTGGCTCCACCACAACCACCCCAAGACACTATTGTGCAACCTGGAGTCTATTGTCCGGTCTTTCGGGGCTTTTTCCACCTCAATGAACATTGTGTACCACATCCTTCGATCTTTTGGCCGAGATATTGTGAACATTGTTGCACAAGGCTGTTAAGTGGTACAAGCATGACCGCGATTATCAATTGTTGCATATTGTCCGGTCCTTCCGAGCTTTTTCCAACTCTATGAACATTGTGTACCACATCCTTCGAGAGGGCCAAGACATTTACAAGACTACTCCCCGGCGGGGCTACAACCGTTATCAATTGTTGCACAAGGCTGTTAAGCGGTACAAGCATGACCGCGATTATCAATTGTTGCACGACCAGGTTTCGGATATTTTGGCCCAGATATTCAAGTCTGATATGGAGAAATTGAAATTCAAGGAGGCGGCGGAGGAGCAAAACAAAAACAACCAATTAAAGCAATTATCTGAATCTGATATTGAAGAAAGAATAACCTTGGCCGCATGCGATATGCATTATGCCTTGTCAACATTCTCGGAGTCCAACCCCCACTACAACATCATTTTGCTGCTTGAAAGCATTGCCAGGAAGTTTTTCCCGCCAGAAGAATATCACAAATTAGAATTAGATGGAGGTCATGGTAAAGGAAAACGGGCCAAGGCCAAATATGCCGACAGGGTCATGGTCAAGCGGCTCAAGGATGAGGTTTTTCCCTCCTTGACGAAGGCCTACTTTGCCCAGCATTATCCACGAGACGAGGCCAGTGCTGTTGAGACCTATTTGGAGAAGGTGAAAGCCATCTGCTGCTGCAGTGGCAGTGCTGGCAAGATTTCGTCCTCCTCGTCCTTGTTGGCGGATGCTCTGCTTCCGCATGAGATCACAGGCTACGTGCACCATTGGAATTTCGGCCACGCTGCTGAGCTCCAGTGGAAGTCAATGGTGGAGGACGTCTACTCAAAGCAGGGCAAGTTCAAAAACTGGTTGGCTGTATGTGATGTCAACCCCAGATTCATGGACGACGAGGTCTCCTTGGAGGTCTCCATTGCTTTGGGGCTCTTGCTGTCTGAACTGAGTGAAGAGCCATGGAAAGGAAAGGTGATTCAATTCAGTCGTGAGGCTCAGCTACATTCCATCCAAGGCGGCAACGATCTTAGGTACAAATACGAGTTTGTGAGGAGGATGAGCCGCGGTGTCGACCTTGATTTTGAGAAGCTGTTTGATTTGATTCTCCAAGTGGCTGTGAATGAGAACTTGAAGCCGGATCAGATGATCAAGAAGGTGTTGGTGTTGAGTCACCCGGACTTTGATAGTGCCAGTGTGGCCCAAACTTCTTGGGAGATTGATTACCAGGCAATACAGAGCAAGTACAAGGAGAAAGGGTACGGGGATGTTGTGCCACACATGGTGTTTTGGACTTTGTCAAAGTACAACCCGGAGAAGCCGGTGGCGCCTCGTACACAACCGGGGGTGTCCATTCTCAATGGCTTCTCTAACAGTCTGCTCAAGCACTTTCTCGACAATGAAGGCGAAATTGGCCACGACTATCTTATGGAATTAGCCATCTCTGATGAACGTTATCAAGCTCTCACTGTAGTGGACTGACATACACCTATAAATATATAGCTTCTCTTTAGACCTTATTTTGTTTTTAGCTAGTCAACTAGTTTCAAGCAAAATGAGACTAGATTGATTGTAATTGGCTTATTAATTATATTTTCTTTGTAATTAGTGCCTGATGTTAGCTTAATTATCTTGCGGTAGTTGGGCTGTACCAACCGATCGGCAAGGTTGAAAGATATATTTGTTATCATTAATTTTGTAATGTTAAAACATCTTAAAATTGCTCTCACTAATTTTGTTACACAAGTCACACAAGGATGCAAATTGCAATGCATGCATGTCTCACGAAATCTGAAATATAAAATATAACAATTAATAATTAGTAATTACCCCGCACTCATTAGTAAGGATATTTTCATCTTTTGACAAAAAAAGAGAGAGGATATTTTCATCTACTGGTTCGAGGGCATATGTACAATTGTCTGATCTTATTCACCAGTGAAAACTGTTGGTGTAATTGGCTCATACATATCAAGTATAGATGCTTTCTTTCGTGCCTCTCTCTCTCTCTCTCTCTCTCTCTTCTCTCTTCTCTTATTATGGCGGCATTGTGCCGAGAATGCCTCCGAGAAAAAGAAGACCAGGGGTTTCGAGCTTCACTTCCGTTGCTACAAAGTATAGCTCTGCCGAGAAGGTCACAGTCATTGTCACATTCGTAGAAGCTTTGTCTAGCACTAACTTGTTATCCCTCTCTACTCCATATTTCTTCAGGTCCACTTGTGATTCTGCCGCCGAGAAAAAGAAGGCCAAGGTTTGGGATCATCTGAAGAAGTTTGAAACCGGTAAGTGTCTTCACATTAATACATGCCTTCATTGAGACACAGGTCAAGGAAAAGATTTTTATAAAAAATTGAAAAGATTTTTATAAAAAATTGAAAAAATTTCTTGATTCGTTTCTGATTATACGTGCAACCCCAACATATATCAATCAGTATGGTGATATAGCTTTTGATGGTATGAAACCAATTATAGTCGAGGATTAATATGGATTAGGTAATTAATATATGGCGTGCGGTGGAAATTGGATGTGAATTTCTCTCAAGCCGCCAACCAATGTGATGCACGCATGTACTGCTAATCAATGGCTTAATCTTAAAGGAAGTAATTACATATTTTCAAGTGGGATGATCAAGAACCGTATTTTTTCTATTGATTATAGATTAATTTGTCGATTGATAGTAACATTTCAATGAATTTTGAAAAATAAAACCACTATTATCTTTGATTGTAACATGCGGATTGGTAATATTGTGCACATACCCAAATTATTTTCTATTATATATATATATACTATACCTTATCGAGAAGAAACTCGATTTGGGCACGCGAAAGTTCGTCATATGCGCTTGCACACATGCCACGCCAAGCAAATAAGCAACATGCCACGCTACAAGCTTAAGTGGGCCCAAGCCACGCGAATGCCTGGGGCTTGCTGAGCGGATTGTGGTATGGATGGTTACGAGTATTCACGAGACCCATTGATGGTCCAAGGAGTGGAAGTTTTGGGCTACTTGGGAGCACAAAAACTCAAGCCCATTCCTTGAGCCCAAACATATGGGTAAGCATGAGAGAGAAAACCCAATAGCCCATCACCTTAAGAAAAGGCCCACAACACTTGAAAAATCCCACATCAGCCAAAACTTCCAGCTTCTAGGAACAAAACAGCCCAGCGTCTTATATCCAACATCGTGGAAATATCCAGCATCTTTCTTAAAACCAGATCGAAGCCAAACCACCAAAATCAAGCAAAACCATGTGCTGATGGAATCACCTTTTGACCAGCACCCTTACCCATTCTTTCCTCTACAAGCTTTAGTGAGAAAACAAGAAGGAAAAGTGGGTGGCTCCTCACCCACATAGAGAAGTCCTACTGCCTGAGGACCTTGGAACCCCAAAAAGCTGCGCGCCTATGGGTTCAGGCTGGGGAAGTTTCACCGAACAAGATTAAATGGAAGAAAGTGAAGAAAAGAGGGAAGGAGGCTTGACAAAATTAAGGGTTTCTATTGCCTATAAAAGGAGCCACTTTCTTCCCAGCAAAAGACACAACAAACCGATCGAAGGCAAGCATCCCCTCTGGAATCCTTCAATTTCATGCTTTGTTCTTCCATCTTCCTCCTTTCTCTCTCTCAAAACCCACATCCAGAGAGAGCAAGCATCACCTCTCATCTCTGGAACCCTCCGATTTCAAGCCTTGTTCTTTCACTGCTTCCCATTTTCTCTTCTGTCAAATCGCCCAGAAGTTTGATGAAGCTTTCGTCAAGCTGCTGGAATTATGCTAAAGCCACCCATGCTTTCATCTTCTTCCTCGCTCTCTCTCTCTCTCTCATAACACATATCCAGAGAGCAAGCTTCCCTCTCATCTTCAAAGCCTAGCAATTTCCCCATTTTCCCTCTTGGCAGAACTGTTCTAGTACTTGACAGAACTTTCGTCAAGCTGCCGGAAACTTGCTCAAGCCACTCATTCTTCTTCCTCATCTCTTCCACTCTCTCCTCAACAAATCCTCCCAAAAAACTCTCTCTTCCCCTTACTTCGACCCTATGTTTCTCATAGGAAACCCAAGCCTTCTCTCTCTCATGCTAAACTCACGAATGCTCAGCTCCCATGCCACAAGCTTCTCATGCCAAGCCTAAATATTTATCTGCAAGTAATTGTCTTTTTTGTTGGTGAAGATAACAAGGGTGTTTCCTAAGGCTCCGCTACCCTTTCGAAGCACACTTGGGGTTTGATTCTCGAACTCAGACACAAGGGGCGATTCCAGCCATTTGCACTTTACAGTAGCCCAGGCCCATTCATCAAGCTGTTGGAACAAAAAGACCCCCACAATATATATACTAGCCTTTTTGAACGCGCTTCCGCGCCTGCGATAAGCTTTTTTTAAAAATTTTAAAATTTATTTTAGAATTAAAAAAGATAATGGGTAGTTTTGTTCCATGAAAATAGGATCCATTATCTGATTTTTATTTTTATTTTTATTTTTTTAAATATGAAAAAGTGTGAATTTACCATATTATCCT